ACAGCGGCACAGTGAGGAAAAATCCACCTGGGACAGACTATTCCACCTGTACTCCATCTCACCACAGGCTCCCGTGCAACCTAGTGTCCTTGCACTGCTAAAGTTCAGTGGATCAACACCCTAAAGCAGGGGGGGATCAGCACACGTCAGCCCACACTCTCAGGCTTCACCCAGGAACACTGTAGGGGCAGCAGGCATTTACTGAGTACTACTGTGTGCACGGTGCTACATTTTGTGTGCAGACAACAGTAACCGTTCCTGCTCCACACTCTGACAACATCATTTACATCAGAGCACGGTTCAGGGAGGTGGAAAACCCAGCAAACACATGAACAAGGTAATAAGACAATAAAGGACATGGAGCCGCCTCATCTGTCAGGACACGCATCTTCGCATCAGCTGACATTCACAGCGACTTCTACACCTGACATTGCGGTCATCACACTCATGACACTTTCTCCAACATGTGAATCCTGCATTGCCAGGTGGTCTTCCCTCCCGACACATGCTGATCCTGGTGGCAGGATTGACACCAAGAGCCAAGAAAAGCAACCACCTTCACTCGGCAGAAACCGAGGTGGGTGTGGATCCTTGCCTTGGCTTCTTTCACCTCATTCCATGCAGTCTATGTCCATCCTGTCATCGGGCTGTGAACCAGGCTTCATCATAGAGCCCTTCTTTGACTGATTTCAAGTGCTTAACTGAAAACAGACCTAACAATGATCTAGCCTTCCATATTAAAACTGAAATTTAAATCCTGCGTCAAAAGATGCTTCTCTAAAAATACAGACCTTGGGCTCTGGAGTCATCTAATTTAAACGGACCATGTCTATTTCCTCATGCAGTTTATTTCTGGTACCAATGTTTACCTCTCTCTTTTTCGTCATTGGGTCTTGGAACATAACCAGTGTTGCAGGCAAATGTTTTATTATTAAGTATTGAATCAGCTTTGGATTCACCAATGTTTCAATTAGGTGGGGAGGGGGATGGGAAAGACAGGTAGAGGTCTTGGAATCCTAAGGGGAAGAGTATTTCTAAATAGTCACTTCTTAACCACTATCTGGGGGAGGTCAGCGAGACTTGGGGGTACAGGATACTGAATTTGTGTCTGGACTAGAATGCAACCAATAGCCCAGGATCCCCAGGAGAGAAACTGCTGTGTCCCAGAGGGAGGTGAACAAGGTTTTGGGAAACAAGCAAAGCACAGGGACCCAGTCAATAATTAGAATCTTAGAATACAGGAAATGAGATAAAAGATGAGAATTTACCAAGTTCAAGGAAATTCTGGGGGTGGTGCTTTCTCTCCGTCTCTGCTATTTCTGTCATATGAAGAATGGAGAGACAATTATTCTTTAGGAAATGTTCTAGTTTCATACAAAAATAAAGAACAGATTCAGGGGAAATACATAAATATTTTCTTTTTCTTATGTTACATATAATTATATCACAAACGTTTAAAATCCTGCTAAGAAAACAAATGCAGTTAAGATCACACAGACGCAAGTTCAGCCTACTCACATTTCTTTCTAGGTGGTCAATTAGTTTGAACAGGAGAAGCCCTTTAGTTTTCATATTCTTTCTAGGCAAGAATCATTTTCAACTCGAGGGCGTAATTTGAAAGCAATGGAAAAACATGTTTAAGATGAACCAAAACCCAGCCTTATCTTCTATGAAACTTAACCTCAAATACAGAGCTTTAATTCACACCAAGCTCTCTGAGCATCTTTTCATCAGAGTTTAGTCCTACTAACTGCAGTCTTCCAAATACACTGCTCTCGGTTCTGTTGGGCAACAGCATTTCAAACTGTGTTTTAGCTCTGTCCTGTCCAGAACCCTCTGGATAGACTCTCAGATATGTAGGATTATGTGTTTTTGTTGTTGTTTGTTTGTTTTTTGGCAGTGCTGGTGAATAAACCCTGGGCCTTGCACATACTAGGCAAGCACTTTACCTTTGAGCCTCATCTCCAGTTTTTATGTGATAATTTTATTTTTGATGCACAATCAACCAACAAATACATGAAAAAATGATGTACAATCAATCAACAAATACATGAAAAAATGTTCATCATCACTAGCAATTAGAGAAATGCAAATCAAAATCACTCTAAGATTTCATTTCACTCCAGTCAGAATGGCAGCTATTATGCATACAAACAACTATTAGTGTTGTCGAGGATGTAGGGAAAAAAGGTACACTCATACACTGCTGGTGGGACTGCAAATTGGTGCAGCCACTGTATAAAGCAGTATGGAGATTTCTTGGAATATTGGGAATGGAACCACCATTTGACATAGCTATCCCACTCCTCGGTCTATACCCAAAGGACTTAAAAATAGCATGCTACTTCAACACAGCCACATCAATGTTTACAGCAGCACAATTCACAATAACTAAACTGTGGAACCAACCTAGAAGCCCTTCAACAGATGAATGGATAAAAAAAGTGTGGCACATATATACAATGGAATATTACTCAACAATAAAAGAGAATAAAATCATGGCATTTGCAGGTAAATGGGTGGAGTTAGAGAAGATAATGCTAAGTGAAGATAGCTAATCCCAAAAAAACAAATGGCAAATTTTTTTTTGAATCAGGAGGCTGATTCATAGTGGGGTAGGGAGAGGGAGCATGGGAGGAATAGATGAACTCTAGATAGGGCAGAGGGGTGGGAGGGGAAGGGAGGGGGCATGGGGTTATTAATGATGGTAGAATGTGATGATTGTTATTATCCAAAGTACAGGTATAAAGACACGAATTGTTGTGAATATACTATGTATACAACCAGAGATATAAAATATTGTACTCTATATGTGTAGTAAGAATTGTAATGCATTCTGCTGTCATGTATAAATTTTTTTAAAAAATAAAAAAATTAAAAGAAAGGGAGAAATGTGACCAGTTATAAAAGAAGTGGACAGGCATGTGACTAACTGGAGCAAAGATGTAAAGGCATTCTTCAGTACCCCTGAGCTTGGGTACATGGTCAGACTTCCAGGGTAGCTGCTGCATGGGTATGACAGGACTGCCCTGACAGCCAGTCAGGGTGTGAAGGACCAGGTCAAGTGTGAAGGTCTTGGTCTTGAGTCTGAGGATGCAAGCTATAAAATGGATAGATCATATTTGCATTTTAGGCAGATCTCCCTGGTAGCTGTAGCATATGGAATAGATTCACTTAAATGGCAGAATTGACAGAACACAGTGAATGACAGAAAAGAGTATAGGACGAATCCAATGTTTCTAGCTTCAGAACCTAGTAGCAGATTCAAAAACTGAAGAGAAAGAGCAGGTTTCTGGGGTCAAAGACTAAGTTCGGCTTTAGCATGCTGAGTTTCAAAAGCCTTCGTACATTGACGGGGACTCTCCATGAGGCAGCTAGAAGGTAGTTCTGGAACTGCAGAAGAGTTACAGAGTTGAAATTTTGTCATGCTGCACTTGTTGAAAACTCAAAGAAATAATAAGGACAAGACAACACAGATAGTCATTCTAGCCTACTCTGCCTTGGAGAAAAGAGCCTATTGTTTAATGTGTGTGTGTTTTATTTATTTTTTTCCTCCTGTTCTTCCTCATGTAGTTGGGATTTTAATGAGAAAAAAGGGACTGGATGCAGGCCCTTAATCCAAGCGATATTCATTTTGCAGCTGGCTAACCGCATCCTGGGCATCCTGGCCATCCTGGCTGAGGGGGCAACCCCCGGCAGGCCCTGAGTTCACTGTTGTGGGGAAGCCCTACTCTGGCCCCAGGCAGGAGAAGTCAAGATCAAAGCTCACAAGGCAAATATTGTTCTGATTAAAACCCAACTTTCTGCTTTTGATGTGAACCAACCTCTATTGTTGGTAGAAACAATGGAGGAGTGGAGCCGAAAAGACACTGGCAGGAATTATGAAGCCAGGGTGCACTTCATTTAGAAAAGAGAAAGAGAAGATCGACTGGGGGCATGAGTAGACAGAAAGCAGAAGAAAAACTGAAAGGATGGAGAGGAAACCAAGGCAAAAAGGGTGAGAGGGTCCGAGGAGGGAGCTGAAATCAGCCCACATCCAGGGGACATGGAAGGGACCAAGCACCATTCTCTCCAGGGCCCTGGAGTCAAAGGGGAACCTCATTCTAGTCTCATTGTGCCATCAGTTGCCCATGAGGCTTTAGGATGCCTCAAAGCTCTGCAGGCCCCTTTCCTTAACTTGCAGGTAAGCACCAGAAGCCCCCTTCAATCCCCTTGAAGCTGCCTAATGTTTGTATTCCAGGCTGCTCCCACAAGGTGTGCACTCATCCTGGACTACCACTTCCTTTGTTTCTCCAGGAGAAGGATCAATCATCTCCCATTGGGTAATGAGACGCAGGGAGGGTGTTTGAGCCACTTCCACAAAGTTGCAGCAGTGGGCCGGGTCCCAGGCCACTTCCACTGTTGTAACTACTGACATATTGTGAAATTAAGAAACACCAAAGCAGGATCGCCAAAACCCAAAACCCTCCCCTATCTTCGAATGGTTATATTTCAAAAATGATTATCCTTATTCACAAGCAAGATAAAACTTCCTTTGGGAACAATTTCAGGAAGCTTAACTAAAGGCCCAGTGCTAAATGACCCACCTGCTCCTCCCCTAGAAGCCTGGTCATTTCAATATACCCAGGAGCTTAGCACATCCCTGACACATGGTGAGTAATGGAAAAGCACTTGCTAAATGAATAAATGCACACATGGATGAATAAACGGTCTCCATGTCCTTGGGCTCTGCATACTTCATTAGGAAAATAATAAGGTGGCAATATGTTCTCTGGGAAACATGCAGATTAAAGTCAGGCCCTCAAGCTGGGCAGATCCCCAGAAATAACCCCTTACCACCAGATCTAAGGGACAGCAATAAGGCTCATAACTAGAAGTAGGAATGGCACCCCAGTTTCAGCCATAAGCATCTAATACCAAACTTCAAATAGGATACATTTCTACCATTCAGCTTTTGAATGATGAAAGACAGAACTTTCTGGAAGTCAGAGACTGGGTCCTTTGAAAGATCAATCACCATGGTTTTATTTGCGTCATACATGTTTCTAAGGGGATTAAACAAACTTTACCCTGTGCATATAAGGGGACTCAATGAATGGATAAGCATATGAAATTTGGGGAAATACCAAGAGCATGTATCATGGTATCGACCTTAGACGTATCTATTCCCCATTCAATTGAACAAGTGCTGTTGACTTCCAGTTTTATTTTTCAGCTCATGTTTCCAGCTAGATTTACCTAATGAAGACTGTTCATGATGGTTATAGAGAGGAGATCCACATTGGAGTTACAGCAAAAAGACAAAGAAAAAGAAAAAAAATCAGCTGCTAAATATTGATTTCAGACACTTCAAGATGGTAGGGTCCCTTCTTTGTATGTTCCACCAATGATTCCCAAAGGCCTGTGCAAGTTTGTGCTTCAAATTCAGTCCCTGGGAGGAGGAAAACACAACTTGACATCTACATTCCTTACAAAATTCACAAAGAGGATTAATGAGTTAATAAGCTTTAAGTACTTTGCAAGCCACAGGTGCCTGGAGAACATTATTAGGACCACATTTTTCCTACCAAAGTGGTTCAAGCTTTGAACAGAAGGTGAAATCCCAGGAGAAATGCCTGATTCTAATACAGGAAACTAGAATCCTATTCTCAGGTAATAAGATGTCTGTTAAAGTGCCCTACATTGTCCAGTCACTGGTGGCAGGGACAGATTTAGATAATACGAAGGCAACAGTATCCCCCAAAGCACCATTGAAAGTAGTTAAAATAATAAGCAATTTCGATTAACAGTGGCATCTGCAGCAGCAGCAGAAATGCTCTGGTTAGACTCATGTTCTCCTGAACTCTCTCTCTCAAGTCTAAAACTTATGTACCTGTTCTGCAAACTACAGCTCTACTAATATCCCACGGTTAATGTCAGCCACATCCGGACTCCATATGTGCCTACAAATGTGGCCCCAAACTGAAATGACTGCATTTATTTGATACAACTCAGGTGGGTTCTGAGACTCCGGTTAGCAGAGAAAATACAGTTATTAGGCTCACTTTAAGCTTAACTATGTCACCTTCTTGTCCCCAGGAACATTTCTTCATGGCTCTTTATTTACTCTCAAATAAAAAAAATGATGTGAAATGGTTAGGCAGCTAAAAATTTCCTGAATGATGTCTCCTACACCACAAAATGATTTTATACTTATTTTGCAACCTAGGTTGCCTCAAACTCTAAAACAACCAGTCACCAAAAAAATGAAAAAAAAAAAAAAAAAACTTCATATATTTTTAAGAAGGCAATGACCTCTAAATCAGGAGTTCTGACCCCTCATTTCATGGGTGTTCTAACCTTTCATTTTCAGAACAAAAGGATTCATCCAACAGGGTTGCAAAGAGTAGATTTAAGGATTAGAGAATGGAGGAGGGGAAATATTTGTGGCTATTGAACTGCAGAAAAATACAGTGAGTTTCTAAATCAGTGGTGGCAGAACTCCATCCTGAGCTTATTTCTTGGGCATGCCAGGTCTGTGCTAGTCGGGGAGCCCTCACTGCCATTCAGAGACCCTGTTGCTGTGAATACCCAACACACACATAAATAACCATGACATGTATTAATGGCCACATTGTAGCATGAATAAAATGCCCCAGAACCACAGATTGAAAAGAAATTGATTGAGATTGGCATGGTCATGAAAAACCTTAATGGCAACGACATATTGATTCTATTTCAGAAGGAGGCAGATAGCTTTCCTGGCAGCACATGACATGTATATGGTGGGTGCTCGAGGCCTATTGAGGTATTCACTCATTCATCCACTCAAAGATTGGCTTATTCATTCTTCATCTATTCACCAGGCCTCTATGCACTCCATGTGGACCCTGGGTATATGCGGAACGTCCAATGGGGACAGTTTGAAAAGTGGTGGGTGTCAGGCTCTGAAGTTCTGGTGGTATTCCTATAGTTTTCAGGGATCTAATCAAGGATTTTCAAGCAGGTGAATAACATAATAATGATTTCATTAAGTAAGATAGTTCTGGACAAATATAAAAATTTAAAATGTAGGATGAAAGAAGCTGATGACTGAGAACTGAGAAGATCTTCCTATAGTCTAGAAACAGAATGATATGATCTGGCTGGGACCTGGGCAGCAGGCCTGGGGAAATAACATCGATTTGAAAAACATGGGTAAAATGAAAAGAATTCTGGAAAGAGGCTGTGGACAGAGGCAGAGCTTGGTTTTCTGGCCTGGCTGAGTGGACAGAGCATGAGTGTGTTACCCTGTTTGAGTCCCTGGGAGGAGGGAAGCTAAACTGGAGGGAGAAATGATTTGGGATTTGCAGCATGTCAAATTTGAGAAAATTTGGGGTCATGCCTGCAGGAACATCTGGTGGGCAAGCCTGAAGTTCAGGACAGATGCAAGGGCTGGAGAAAGAGATTTAGAATTGTCTGCAAGGAAATTACATCTGGAACTCTGAAAACAGAAGATAAGACATTTTATTGAAATCCTATTAAAGACATGTGGGAGATGATAGTGTAGGAAGCAAGACCTGCCCCGGAGCAGGATAATCAGGAAAGAGTGCTCTGACAAGCCAGCCAGGCAAGAGGGAGTTTCCAGAAAGAACATGGGTAAGTGGCAAATGTTTGCAAAACAGAACCCCTGCTACATTTTTTTTTTCCTAACCCTACCAACAAATGTGCTTATCAACACATCCTTTAATGAGTCTTTTTCAGCTAGATCTTAAACATTTATCTGTGAAATTCTGTTGAAATCAGGGTTTTCTCTCTCCTTTTTGGTGACACTTCCTCTCATGACCAAGAGCTGGAGATGAGCAGGGGATGAGTCAGAGGATTCGATGGGGCTTGAAGGAACCCAAAGTGGCCAATATGAGAACTTATGTAAAATATATTTTCTTGCCATCATGGATGGTAAAGAGGTTTTTCTAGGTGATAAGTCAAAGTCATTTATGTAATAGCTTTTCTGGAATAATGGGAATTACAGAAGGCTGTGTTTCCAAGAAACAGTAATGGTTGCTTCAATTCTCTTCTTTCTCTCATCAGCCTTCCTCTTTGAGTAACCAGTAGGAAATTTCTAGAAAGAGAAAGCTGCAACATCAAAGCAAACCAATGCCACAAATGCCCATCAGTTGACTTCTTCATATCAGTTAAGTTAGTGATGAGTTAAGATCAAAGAAGCAGGGACCACCTTCCCGGGTTGCCATCTCTCAATAAGTAGATTTTTAAAATTAATTAGCTATCAGATATTTTCTCTTTTTATGAAAGCAACATGTGATATATTAAGTTCAGCTTTTGTTTTATTTTCATTAAAATAAATATGGTCAGACAAAAAAATATAGGAGTAAAAACATGACAACTCAGGTCCAATTTAAACTTGTCATTAATCAAACTCCTGCCAATGCTGTGTCGTGCCCCGTGGAAACCATCTAACCGTGGTTTCCCTTTGACTGAAGCTACAGCTCTTTGCTTGAATTAGATCCACAGTGAGCCAAACTCTGAAGGAGGCCCGCTGACCTACAGGCCATCAGGAACGTGTGCTGAATCAGTGCTTCTTTGCTTTAAAAGGAGCAAGTGGTGGCGAGTGAGGAGATAATGTCTAGAGCTGATCATCAAGGAAATGTAGCATAAGCACATTATTAAGTTAGGGTGGTAACCGCGGAAAGAGCTAAATATGGAAACTGTTACCCGTGGTTTCCTCTGGGAAGTGCACTGGGGGTTGAGGAGGGTGGAGATGGCTAAAGTCAGAGACTGTGTTTTGCACTAGAAGATGTTCTGTACTTTGAATTAAAAAAAAAAAGACATTTTTACTTGGATAATATAAAGCGTTAAAAAAACTGTGAAATGTTATTATTGCATGTATGCTTACTTATGCTTATTGTAATATCAATATCAAAAATCCAATTTACTTAAAATATGTTTTGAAGTGAATTGTCTAAACTATATGAAGCTGATAGTTTTCTAACTTTTGAAATTAGACTCACAGAGTCACAAAAAGATAGACTATCTTCTATTTTACAAATTAAAAGGTCAATTGTGAATTTAAGGGAGCTACCCAAGGCCAGGGATCAAAGGGACAAAGCAAGAATCCAGCCTCTGTATGTGCTTTGTCTGTATCCCTTGGCTTGCCTCTGTGTACTTCATAAAACACAGAATGGATACCTTCTTACAAAGGCATGTTCAGTTGGTGCTCTGGATCCTTCTGAACTAGCACTATCACAGCTCAGCCTTACCAGACATTAAAAATGTCCAACATTCAAGAGAAGTGCAAGGAAAGTTCCAGGAGCTGGGTATGGAGTTGGAATTTGCAAAATGAAAGTCGCTTCCTGGTGGGGAGTGGCCCTAGCCTCCTGCATGACTATACCACTAATGAAACTACTTAGGCAGGTGTATCTGTCTGCTAAGGCTGTCAAATCAAGTATCACAAACTGGGTGGCTCAAACAGGAGAAATTTCTTGTCTCATTGTTTTGGAGACCAGAAGTGCAAAATGAAGGTGTCAGCAGAGTGGGTTCCCTCAAAGGAGCTGTGAAGGAATGTCTCTGGCCTCTGCATGGTCACTTCTAAGTGGCCATCTTCTCCCTGTGTCTCTTCACAAGGTCTTCCTTCCACGAATTTCTGCATGTCCAAATTTCCCCTTTCAATGAGGGTATCAGTAATATTAGTTTAGGGGCTTCGTCCACTCTAGAATGACGTTATCTGAACTAATGATGTCTGTAATGATCTTATTTCCAAATAAGGTCATCTTTTGAGAGACTGGGGGTTAGGATTTCACTATAGCAACTTTGGGGGAACACAGTTCAATCTATAACACTTTGGAGATAACCGAATCCTTCAGGCCTTCCCTCTAACATTTATAGCATTTACTGGAAATTTTCTTCTTCTGGGAATGCATCACATTAAAAGTTAAGATCAATTGGAAAGTAAGATTTATTAGTTAAAAATTCACTTCACATTTGCTTATTTTGAAAGCCTGTCTTAAATAAAGTGGAGAATGTTAACCACAGCTTTATGTTCTTTAAATGAATAGACACTCTAGAATGTTTTAGGATCAAAGGAAGTAATAATTTCAATTATGAATAAGTATGTAGGTACATAAACTTACATATCTATAATATTGTGGTGTACATGCATGCACATGTAATGTTATGCTATAAACATAACAAATACTATATGACAGCATCCCCATCCAATAGTGTAAAACGCACTCACCTAATATATACTAAAACACACTCATGGGGACGTGTCACATTTTAAGAGGTTTTTTTCAATTATAACTGTACAGCTGAACGAAGTCTGAGCGCCTCAGAGTGGGAAAATACACATAAAACTTTAAAATCCAATTTACTTTTTCATTCGACTATGATATTTACCTTTTGCTTTTCACTCAGAAAGAAAAACAAGGGTAACAGGTTCCCTTTGATCTCCAGTCAACTCTCCCTGTGTGAAGGCCTCTACGGCAAGGGCACCACTTTTCACAGGAAGTGTAAAAAGGGAAGGATCTCCTCTTATCAGACCTGATTAATTGTTCTATAATATGTAATTCTAAATTAATCTAGAAAGATTTTGCAAATATGTTTTAGCCGTCTTGGCTGGACTATGCTAGGTTAACTTTGAACACTAGTTCTGCCAGCAAACTAATAGAATAGCAAATATGTTTTGAAGTGAATTATCTAAACTACATGAAGCTGATAGTTTTCCAGGCATGCCTACTTCTCATTCCCCGTTGCTCTGTTTTCACTGACTCATTTCACTCACACATCTTTCATGGCGTCATTCAATAATCATAGGCAAAATCCAACCTAAAAGTGGGTTGCTTTCCTTAAATTTATACAGTTTGGAAGTAGGATGCATTTTTAAAAAGTAATAATACACATGTAGTCTCATTCAGTGCATATTTAATCATAATGAGGTAGTGAGAAAAATTATGGCAAAACATAAGTATGTTTCCTTATTAAAAAAATAAAAAGATAACATTTTCTCTTCTCTTCAATCTTATTTTAAAAAATATTCCGTCCTCCTTCAACTTGCCCTAACAGAGGCTTGGCTTTCCCCTCAAAATACCACTTCATATTCCTTTTAAGCCATTCCAATTCTGGTCCCCACTTCAACTTCTTACCAATTTCAAGGGCAAAGGAGAATAACCAGCAACTCTTTGCTTCTGACTGCTCCTTCCAGACACTTGATACCCATCACTCTCTTAAAGAACTCTGTTCTGCAAGCTACTCCAAGGAATGGCAGGTCTTGCCCAGGAATCCCTTCTCAGAGGGTGTGCGCAGGATGCTGGCTGAGTGGGCATCTGGCTGACTTCCAAAACTCAGCTCTCTGTAGGAAACAAGAGATGCCCAATCCTAGCCACACCAGTCAGATCCCCTCTTTCTCTGGAATTTGGAATTAGAATATCCTTGATGTAGAATATGTCGAAAATGGTGTGAAAATAGCAGTGGAAGAAGAAATCCATACATTTGTACTTCAGTTCATTCATTCATTCTTTCACTCATTGTTCATGCAAGATAAACCATCAGCTTCTGGCCAGAAGGTAATTAGAATTATCTAGCTGAAAAAGCAAAGTGTCCGCGTGGGAAGATGGAAAAGTAGGTTCAGGCTAAAGCTGTAGCAGGTTCTGATGGCAGATCAAAGGTTTTGGTTTTATCTTTCAGTTAAAATGAAAAGGTAGCCAGCTTCATAGAACCAATCCATATCAATGTTCCCCTGCTTTTCCATCACTGTCCTTTCAAGACTTATAATTTGAACGTAACCACCATGGACTGAAATATCATTCCAATCCACCATTTTTGTTACTAGGATTGAACTGTCTGTGACACCATCATTCTCCCTGACTTTAACAGGAGGCAGATGAAGGGAAGAATACAGAATGTGGCCTCTCTGTAAGTCTGTTTATCCAGGTGGATTTTAAGTGCCTTGAGGACTGGTACTGGTACTTTGTCAAAGTTTTTATCTCTAGATCTCTGTACACAAGAGATGCTCAGTCCACGTATGTAGACCAGAAAGGAATGGGAAACATTCATCCTTGAGCTTGGATATGGAACTGGGGTTGAATGTGATTTTAAAGAACATACATACACACATATTCCTTAGAATATCTGAAGGAATACCTTACATGAAGAGTGAGTCTGGGAAATGTGCTTTCTTTGGCATAAGGAGAAGGCAGGAGAAAAAGAAGTGGAAAGAGAGCCAAATACTTTCAAAGAACAACATTATGTCCTCAGGAAAGAGCGATTTAACGATATGCAACACACCTGTGCTTGCCCAACGGCACAGTGATTAAGAAATGTTGTTATCGCCTTCAAAAGCAAGTTTTCTGAAACATTAAATATGATAACCTCCTGGTGAATTTTTCCACAGCACTGCAGTAACCACTTCTAATCATGCAGCTCAAAAGATAAGGCAAGTGGAGATCTAACAGTACACAGGCTGCCCATGAAGAAATACTGTTCTCAAACGTAATCTATCAGGACATAATCTATTAACTGTTCCACTCAAGGGACCAACTCCAGTTCAAAACCTTTCTTTCTTCCAGGGAACTGGGTGTCTGGAATTACAAACACTAGGGCAAGAAGTTGTGCAACCATGAGTCAACCTATTTACCGTCAAACCCTACACTGTTTTAACTAGGCAAATGCAGGTTTTTCTAAGATGGTTTTTCAAATCTTACTTACAAGATTCTAGAACACATTAACAACTCAATAATTAATCTGAATTTTAAATGCCGCTTCCAAAGAAAACAACAACAAAAAATCGTTAGATTTAAAAATCTTCATAGCTTTGCTATTTGAACCACATGAAAGAGCTTTTTAGACGTGTGACTAGCTCTTAGTGTCTTTCTCAATGAAGAATATATGCTTCAACTTATTTTTAATATAGGTCAAGTGTGATCATTGTTTTATGCTGTGGAAGGGAAAAAAATCTGCAAATGGTTTAGTTATGACTATAATAGGGTGAGTCCAGGAAATTAAGCTTCCTTTTCACATAGCTCCCTTCTTCTTTGTGAATCAAACCGGAAGGATGAGCAAAGAGGTGGTGAATTTAGTATTAAGAAGGTGAACTTTATGACCACTCAGTAGAAAACTGGAAAGTCATCAAGAAGTCCCTTAGACCATACGGTATCCTGAAGCATGGCACAACTTGATAACTGATAGTGGAATTGCTGAAATTTTTTGTTAATAAACAATCATTCCCTTTTTAAACCTCCCCCATCACTACTCCAGCCCCCATAAGCCAGGTTTTTCTCATGTCTTCACCCAGAAAACTCAGAGAGTAGAAAACCCAGAAGGTAAGTCCCTTCTTTCATAAGGACTAATCAGAGCATCAACTTAAAGACCACTCACTCCTTCATTCATCCATTCAACAAGTATTTATTAGTGCACACTAAGTTCCAGGTACTAGAGAATATAACTGTAAACAGGAGGAGGCAGACAAGAAGCCAATTAATAGCATATGAGTGTTATATACATACTACAGTACATCAAAATATGTAGTTTAAGGTTCTGGAAAGAAGGCAAGGTAAAGATAGAGAGGGATTGCTGTTAATGACCATCTTGTTAGTTTTACAACTACAATATCAACATGGCAATTTGTGAAGTTTCAGTTGATAACTCCTTTAGGCTATGAGGGTTAAGATTTCAACATATGAATATCAGGGCAACAAATTCTACCTATAGTAAGAGTAAAATATGTGAAAGTAGGAGGAGAGCCAACAATCTGTAAAACAGGTCTGGGTATGAAAACTGAAATAGAGTGCCCATGAAGTGGGAGGCTCCTGGCACCTGGGATCTGCCCTGGGGAGCCTAACATTTCCAGTCTGGTGGGAGAGGACTCCAGAGGGATTTAAATTAAAACCGCTCTGTGTGGGAAGCACGCTGATTTTACACAGCACTGAAACGGGCACTGACCAGCAAGAATGGGCTATTCTGCATCCACTGCAGGCCCAGGCTCTGCATGACAATATTCCTTACTGTGCTGGCTTTCAGGGTTCCTCCCTGCATGTCTGTATGGCATTTAGTGTTTGTAGCAATCATTTAGCAAAGCTGCAAATAGTGTTCTATGCATTTTGTATGTCTGATCTGTCTCTACAACTTTTTCAGAAAATCTTTCCATTTTCCCAAAGTAAATTTTACAATATATGTGCACAATATAGAGCTTCATATCTTAAGAGGAGGAGGAGGGGGAGGAGGAGGAGGAGGAGGAGGAGGAGGAGGAGGAGAAGAAAGTAAATAGCTGAGGATGGAATTTTACAGACTTTATTTTTGGAGATTCCATTAAAAAATGTTTTCTTTCAGATATTTCTTCCAGTCTTACTGGGCATTTTCTGAAGGATACACAACATAACTCAGGGCTTGGAATAACTATATAAAGTTGCATTAGTTTTCCTCTGATAGACATGAATAAAAACACCATAAATGAAACAGGAGCTCCAGTCACGTCATAGATGAGGCAAAGATAAATTTGTGTAGAGTATCTTTACTGGAAAAATAAGAACTACGGATTCTGTGACACAGTTATAATTTGAAGTAAAATACAAATAAACATATTTATATTTTAAATAAAATAAAATACAAATAAAAGTTTTACATGTTTAAAATATTTTGAAGCCAGGACATCCATATCAACACTCTGGTTTTCTAGTTTATAAATAAGGATCGGAGTGCACACTATTAAAACTCAGGGCGGAGGCCAGTCTTGGCTAGTGAACTTCTGAGTGTCAGAAGTGTGCTACATCAATAGCAGAGTTTTCACTAACACCAGTAGAGTTTATCTCTATGACTGGAGTTGATAGTACTCACTGCCACATACACTCAAATTTATCAAAGAATGTCCCATTGGCATAGCCAATTCAAATGTTTTTAAAAGATTCACCTGGAGGTGTAGCTCCGGTGGAGTGTGTATTTAACCTTACTCCAGGCTTTTAATTTAATCCCTAGTACAAAAATAAAATAAAATAAAATAAAGAAATAAGGATGGGGATAGTGCACCCAACTTTGTTAATCAGGTTCCCTTTCAACCAGGAGTTGATATAATGAAGGCCCATGGTCTGAAGACATTCTTGAGTAGTTGTTGACCCAAAGCTATGTAAATTATTTTATAGTCAGTAAATCTCGCTAACCAAATCCACTTATTTCTTACTTTTGTCCAAACCTGGCTATGTTAAGGCCATCGCTAATAACCAACAATTACCAATGGGTAATTCTGTTGATTTCACTGAAGTGTTAAATATAAAACCTGACTGACTCCTTCTCTAAGAAGCTTACAGTCAAGTGGAAAATGACAAAGAGATCATAATAACAGCAAACCCACTGGGAACTTGATATGTTAGATACTGCACTAAGTTCTGTATCAGTGCATTTTGGGGCTATTAAAGTTTGTTTAGGGCTGGGGATATAGCTCAGTTGGTAGAGTGCTTGCCTTGCTTGCATAAGGCCCTGGGGTTCAATCCCCAGCACCACAAAAATAAATAAATAAAATTTTATTTAACAGAAAGTTTAATATAAAAATATACATGACCCAATTTTTATGTCATAGTTAAACAGGTGGAGAAGGGACACAGATTTCTCTGCTGAACAACCATTATTTATACGTGTTCCAATGCTTCTAACATGAAGATACTATTTCCTTGCATCACCACCATTCCAATACTGTTCTGTTGCACACTAGTTGCCATCTCCACACAGTCATCTATCATAAAATTCATAAAGGGGTCAAATCCCCGCAATATTCCTTCGACACGTCTGCCACCATTTAAAGAAAGTACTTTTGTTCCCCTGTGTTATCAGTGAGAAAATGGAGGCCTGCATAGGTGAGCCAAAGGTACAAGTTTGTCCACTCCGCTCCATGTGTAGCTTTTGACTGTCACTTTGTGACTTAATAGTTCCCCTGTGGACATGCAATGGGAATAGTACTAGCAAAAGACAGAGATACTGTTAATGTCTATGTGTGCTCCAAAATCAAGACAAATCAATCCACAAGAGACAGGCACTCTATGCAAAAGAGAAAGGCAATATCATAGTACGTGGCAACAAGTACTGTAAGTTGCCCACCTTGGATCAGACCTGTTCATGCCCACTAACTCCAGGCCTCAGTATTCTTGACTGTTCCACAGTCAGTGTTTGGCCACATCACAGCCAGTTTGGGCCAATGGTTCTCAGGCCTGAGCATACACTGGAATCACTGGGAAAGGTTTTAAAGCTCCTAATGCCCCAAATGAATCCAAGACTAACTAAAACCAGGATCTCTTGGGGAAGGATTCACCATTAGGGGTTTTTTAAATATTTATTTTTTAGTTTTCGGTGGACACAACATTTTTATTTTTTTATGTGGTGCTGAGGATCGAACCCAGAGCCCTGTGCATGCCAGGCAAGCACGCTACTGCTTGAGCCACATCCCCAGCCCCATCATGAGGGTTTTTAAAGCTTCCCAAGGTGTGGCCAACTTTGGGAACCAGTGCTATAGGCTATACACCAGTGTCTCTCAATGGGAGCTCTTTTGTTCCCCAGAGGACATTTGGCAGGCACTTTTGTTGATTACAACTAGAGGAAAAGATGGTACTCGCAGCTGGAAGCCAAGATTCTACTCAACATCCTACTATGCAAAGGATTCCCCTTATCCCCAACAAAGAGTTACTGGCCCCAAATGTCAAGAGTACTGAGGTTGAGGAACTTTGAAGTACACAATGCTCCTGTTATGGTTTAGGTATGAGGTGTTCCCCAAAACTCATGTGTAAGAAACTCCAAGAATCTTCAGAGGTGAAGTGTTTAGATTATGAAAGTTGTAACCTAATCAGTGTATCAATCCACACACGGATTAACTTGGTGGTAACTGTAGGCGAATGGGGAGTGGCGGGAGGCATGGAGGCATGGCTTTGGGGTTTATATTTTCTCCCTGGTGAGCAGAGTGAGCTCTCTTTCTGCTCACCAGGGAGCCACGTTCTCCTGGTGGCAGTGTTTTGAGCTGCTTTCCTCCACCATGCCCTCCTACTGTGGTGTGCTGCCCAACCTTGGGCCCAGAGTAATGGAGTCAGTCACCTCTGAACTGAGACGTCCGGAACTGAGCACCAAATAAACTTTTCTTCCTCTAATTGTTCTTGTCAGGTCTTTTGGTCACAGATATGAAAAAGCTGTCGAAAACAAACTCCCTTAGTACTCTCTACACTCATAAGAACTGTTCAATAACTATCAACAAGATCTGAATGATTCTCTGCTGGCTAAAAATTCAAAAAAATTAAGAAGCTGATAAAGGTGGCTCGAATTATTGCTTTGCAAAGTTTCCTAAGGATAATATACTCAATCTTGCTCCGAACCAAATTTTTACAACAGATTTGAAATGAAAACATGTTTAGCACTGTGCACCATACCTCTTTCACCACAATTTCCTCTAACCACTTTTAGATTGAGAAATGTGATTATGACGAAGCCTTAAGTTATATGTTACTTCCTCTGTATGCAGTTCTACATTGAGAAGTTGGTCGACAGGGAATAACTGTACTTCTCTGCCTGAGGACATCTTTTAGTTGGTAGTGCACATGACCCTCACTGAGATGCTAGCCAGAAGTACCACAAAGTTAATGTCCTGGAAGCATCTCTTAATGAAAAGATGGATGGATAGTTGGTTAGTAAAGTGTACCTGGGTTCCATAGCCTTCCATTGGGATATGCTGAGTTCTAGAGAGACTGAGTGGCTCACAGTGGGGCCTTCAATATGAGCTCATTCCCTTCACTGTCTGACGTCCTCACTCCATTCCAGTGTTTCCTTGATATATCTCAAATAAACTTCTGGCACTTAGATCCTCAACACAAACTCTGACTCTTAGGGTGTACAAAGATGAAACAAATCTCCAAGGAGATGAAATCATCAGATAAGCATAGCACACTCAAGAATGAAGAAGAGAGAAAAGAACTAGGGGACGCCTGAGTCAATACTAGTGCAAACAAAGAATCTTCAAAAGCTATTTGTAACATGCTCAGGAGACAAGAAAAGATAGGGCATCCACAAAGCAACGAGAGGATGCTATATTAAAAAGGAGCAATGAGAGAACAAGAAAGTAGTTTTGGAACTTAGAGATCTGTATGACAGATGGAATGGGAAAAAAATCAAGGCAACAGTGATAGATAAAAATATAGTAATTCTCCATAGGGGGAAATAAAGAGAGCAAAAATAAAAACAGAAGAGAAGGTGGAGAAAAAAAACAATAAGGCAACAACAAAATCAGTTTATTGGTGAGTTAATATAGGAGGTCCAACATTTAACTGACAGGATTTCCTCACACAGAGAACAAAGAAAATGGAGGCAAGAAATTGTACAAGAAAATGCCCCAGAACTGAGGTATAAGATCTTCAGGCCAGAGGTCCCAAGAGGGAATAGTTTAGGGCTTCAGGAAAAAAAAATGAACAGTATGAGTAGATTATGTGATATATATGAGTATTTGGAAAAAATTATTGCTAGAAATTTGATAAATCCATTGTTGCACTTGGAAGAAGAAAAATAACAGACATTTTAATTTTTTCTAAAAAAATATTTAAGAAACTAAGCAAATAGAAATGAGAAGCAGTTACTAGCTCCAAGAAACTTAATCATACAATATTATGTGACTAGAGTATGAAACAATATTGACAGGGTCAATATTTTATAAACATTGATTGGCTTGGTCCATAATGCCTAGAATTGATAAATCAAGAAATAGTAGTATGAGCATAATACTCAGAATAGTAAAATGTATATTCTAATTTTAAAATATTATTAACATTATGATTTATTTTAATATTCTAAGTTTTGTGTTCTGGAATATACGGTACAGACTCTTAACATCTAGGCAGGAGAGAGTGTGAGGAAAGGCAGACAAAGGAATGCTATAAGCAGATATTATGTTAATTCATAAAAAAAAATTTAGAAATGAAGTAGAGAACAGAGGGAAATATAGGAATATTGCAAGCAAAAATGAAAAAAAATCATTAACCTTGATTTTCATTATAGATGAAAGAATGCTTCAGATGAAAGTATTTGAAATGCAGGGCCCCAAATAGTCAAATAATTACCTATATTTTACATTTCACTTTGCTTATATAACCCTACTGTGTTAGTCAACTGTGACCAAAATATCTGACAAGAACAACTTAAAGGAGGAGAGATTTATTCTGGCTCAGTTTCAAAGGTTTCAGTCCACTGCCAGCTGGCTCCATTGCTTTGGACCTGGGAATGTGTGACAGAGGAGGCTGTCATGGAGGAAGCAGAAAGAGAGACAGGAAGGGGTCAGGGACAAGATATAGCATCAAGGGCACCCCCGCCCCCAGGTCCCATTCCCTCCAAAAAGGTTCCACCACCCACAGTTCCCACAGCTTTCTCATAGTCCATTCTGCTCTGAATACCTACACGGATTGACCCTCTGCTGAGGCCAGAACCCCCAGGATCTAATCATCACTTCCCCAAAGCTCCACCACTGCTGCGCTCGAAATCTCACCCCTGCTCATTCACGAGCCTTTTGGAACATTCCAGATCCAAACCACAACACTTATTAAGTCACCTTCTTCGGGAAAAACCTTCCTTTTAACTTCCAATATACTTTAAGCCTTCTCTTTGGGTCATTCTATAAGTTCTGCAACAGCATTTTCTCATACTTGTATACTTTTTTTTTATTATTTTGTAAAATGCATTTGTAATCTGCAGGAATGTAACCCAACCCTCTGCTCCTGTCTCCCCTCTGCACTGTTATATTTCAGAAGAACTTGAGCTTCATCTCATTCCAGTATAGATTTTTGCTTCAACCTATAAAAAAAAAAAAAAAGGCCCATCAAAGAAATACTTGTTGTACTAATAATACTACGTAGTTCCTACACACCACGTTGAATCAATTCAAACTGCTTCTGTTTCGTATAGTTTTCATCTCTGATTTTGAAAATGAGCTTTTGTGCTGCTGGCATCATGAATTCACTGGAGGCTTGGATGGAAGCTGAGTTCCTTCAGAGAGTGTTGACAACTGCTCTTGTCCCTCAGTCAGGGCTCTTCTCACCTGAGACTGCTTTTAATTATCTGCCCAAATATTTTTTTTTTCCATATGCACAATGACATTGTCAATTCAAACCTAAATATTTATTAGAACGGATTTGCCTTTCAAAATCTCAAGAGAAATATTTTTTTTTCCTTCCATCAGTACCAGATTTGAGACTTCCAAGTTTCTTTGTTGTGTATTCTGTGTGATGGGCTTTTGTTCCGTGTTTCCTACATGTTGAAGGTTCAGCCTCCTCACACCCTAACTTTAAGCAGCCCTCCTACTTGACTCCATCTCAGACAATTATTTTTTTCTTTTCTTACATGTACATAAACATGATATATTTTCCACCAGATGATCTCTTGGATTCCATACAACACAGTACTATATAATAGAATAAAAAAATGGAAGTATAATACTGGTTTAATAGCAGTTATGTAAGTACATTTATGTAAATTTACATAAAACAGTTATGTAAATTTACATTTTTAATAAAAGAAACATTCTGGCTTCTTTTAGCTAATAAGATCTTCACATTCCTACAATTTTTCACAGAAGTTTGCATTTGGCTGTGTAGTTTAAATAGTCGCCTCCTAGCTTTCCTTTACAAAACATTTTTTTCCTGCAACTTCCTGCATAATCAGCATATTAGTACAAATTTTACATTTGCCCACCAAAACCCACAGCAGCCTACACTGTGGTCTGGTTGATGGAAAACATGTGATATTACTAAAAATCATCAACAAAACACACCCATGTGGGATCATACTCCTCTCCCTTCAAAGCAAGCGAAATCCCTTTGGGATAGCCATTATACTGTTCCCTAATATGGCAAATTCAAAACTGTCTCATGTACCCCCAAAAGACCTTTTTCTTTCTTTTTTTCTTTTTTGGTACCATGATTGAACTCAGGGGCACTTGACCATTGAGCCTCATCTCCAGCCCTATTTTGTATTTTATTTAGAGACAGGGTCCCACTGAGTTGCTTGGTGCCTCACTTTTGCTGAGGCTGGCTTTGAACTCTAGATCCTCCTGCCTCAGCCTCCCAAGCTGCTAGGATTACAGGCATGTGCCACCACACCAGGCTCCCAAAGACCTTTTTCAACATATGATTAAACCCTTTAACTTACGTGATTGAACCCTCTATTTGGAAATAACACTAGCTAGGTTTGTGCTGTGCCATATTACATGGTTAGTGATTATTGAGTCTTCAATCAGCTCCAGCAATGAGCCGACTGCTTTTTATACACAATCACTTTACTCCTTACAGCAAACCCAAGAAGAGGAAATTTACTTTACTGGTTAAAAAATAGAGGCTTGTAGTTTAGTAACTTCAATGAGCTCCCACAGCTGGGAAGAGGTGGAATAAGAATTTCAGCCTAGAGAGAGTGAATCGCAGGTCCACCCTCTAAGCCACCAGACTGTATGTATTGCTTACTGCTTTGAGAAAAGGGGGAAAAAAACTATGATGGAAAGAAACATGGCAGTTTGCACAGCAATGCAAATAAACTGGATTTGTTAAAAGCAGCCATACTCAACAACCAGTCAAATTTTAGACAAATCTTTCCGCACTTATCAACATGCCAAGAACAATGCTTGCAACCACAAGAGCAGTTGTTTAAAAAGTACTGAGCTCACACATGGGTCATCATTTTAATTTCCTTTACAATCACCAGGCATCCCGAACTTTTCCATCTCGTCCAGCCCACACGGAGAGTGAGGCTCATCTTCGTGGGTCTGTTAGAACACTGACCTCATAGTGGGTAATGTATATTTCCGCTGAAGTCTCACTGTGCAGGCCAGAGCTGAAGGCAAGCATTAGTATAGATCAAGGCCAGTGAAGTGGGTAATGAGGTTTGGTACATAAAACACTTGGTGTAAATGCAGGGGAACTTCTGGCTTTTCTTTAACATTAACTACTTCGAAAGGCATCACGTGAAATGGAATGCTTGGAAGGCCAGTAGCTGAAAGGAAATAATTTTCCAAG